TTCATACATTTTAATTTTTATTTTGTTAATGTATTAAAAAATTAGAATGTTATTATACTAATTATTAAATTTTACGTTAATTAGATGCATATTTGAACGTGAATTAAGTTTATATTAATGTTAGTATATGAATTTAAGCTCGTTTATGAAAATAATAAATATTAACAGAAATTTTTTATTTAAAAAAAATACATTTCTCAATTTCACGGCATTTTGTATTCAAGAATGTCATTAAATAAATAATTTAGTAACGTTTGTATCATAAAACGTCACTAAAAGTAGCAGTGCTTTTGCTAGAAAATGAACTAAATTAGCAACATTTTTGTGATACAAATGCCACCAAAGTAAAGGTATTTTTTTTATAAAAATGTCACTAAATTAACGGCGTGTCAAAGGTACAAACGCCGCTAATATAACAGTATTTTTTCATATACAAATGCTAATATAGTAGTATTTTTCAGATACAAAAACAAAAAATGTAGCGGCATTTTATAGAAAACGTTACTATTTTTCACAACGAGTGTATAGCCAGCACTCTAACTGACGATTTTCGCAAGCGTCGCTAATCTTTTAGTGACATTTTATAAACGCTTGCCAAACGTAAAAAAAAAAAATGCCACTAAATACCAAAACCCCTATAGTAAATGAATAAATAGATTCAAGAAGGGAAAAACATTTACAATTTTAAATAGTCTAACCAATGAAAAATGGAAAGTAACTTATGTAGTCAAAACAATTAAAAGAAAAATCATAAATCATGAAGCAAATAAAAAAGTTTGTAAAAATTTTAATAAAACAACTGAAAAGAGTATAAATGCAAAGAAAATAATAAGTCAAGAACTTATATAAATGCAAGGAAACTAAATGTCTAAAAAATAAAAATTTAAATGGTTGACTGAATTTTATATAATAAAATTTAGGGACTTAGGCTTCACATGAAATTTTATGTAAACAAACACTACACAATGTAACATGACATTTATTGAAAAATGAGTTTATTATTTTATTTCACAAGATAGAAACAAATTTTAAAAAGTAGAAATTTTAGCAAATCAATCATACTTCAATTAAAAATTATAAAAAATTTATTATTCAAATTCACCTAATTATCATTAAATAATTATGTAAATATAATATAAATGTTTAATGGAAGAGTTCCTAATAAAAACATTTGAAGTATTTATTAAAATATCTTTTCAACTCCTATATTTATTTATTTCTATTAATATTTTAATGTTATTACATAAAAAAAATAAAAGTTTAGTGAAACTCAATAAAATGATAAGTAAATATTAAATGATCATAAAATATTATTATTATTTCTTCAACTTTTACAAAATATTTATTTTTTAACAACTAGCTACATTAAACATACAAAAAGGAGAAAGTATTTTAATTATAACTCGTTATTTAATATAACATATTCTGAAAAGTTTTTAAAGAAAAATAAAAAGAAATAATATTTTTGAGTGTTATGTCATTTACTACTAATTTGAAACAACTTGTGCTCAACTTTTTTTTCTATTTTTTATAATTAAAATTATGATAAAATCTAAAAAAATCTTGAGTTATTTGCATAAGTAACACCTATTTTTTATGCTTTTTTTAATATTTTTATTTAAATCAATGTTAATTATTTACTTTAATTTTTAAAATATAATAATATTAATGCAAAATTATTATGAGAATGAAACCTTTTATTTTAGCTTTATAAAAGTTTGCAACAAGAAATTGAAATACTTTTGCATCCTCTTAAAAATAAATTATTTTTTGTGTCAAATAAATGATTAAATAAAAAACTTTATTAAAGATTAATAAGTGGATTTTTTTCTCATTTTCATATCTACATGGAATTGAAAAAATATCATTAAACATAATCACTATCTTATACGATATACGTTAAATGATTAAAATGATATACGATGTACGTAAGATGATTAAAATGATATTTACTTCTAAAAATAATAAAAAAGTTATTTTTATAACAAATCATCACTCTTATAATATTGTCAATATAGAAAATATTAAAAAAAAAACCTTAAACTGCACAATTAATAGACTCATCATAACAATTTGATGAAGAGATAAATTTATGCAAACAACACAAATAATATCTAATAAAAAATTTTGAAATATAATTTTTTAAAGAAAAGCACAAAATCTCAAAATCCATAACAAATTATCAAAAAAGGAAACTATTAAGCACTGAGTTAAATGTACATAAAAAGATGGTTACAAACAAAAAATATATCATGGAATATTTATACTTTTATCAAGCATCTCTTTGATGATAGTATTAACAAGAAAATGAATCATATCATTCGCATTAATTACCTTATAATCATCTTTATTTTTTACAATAAAATTTTTTTTTATATAACATACACCTCTTTCATGAATCTTATTCTTCAATCTATATACATTATGGCTCCAAAAAATATTATGAATATAAAATCTCTACATAAGTACAAAAAATTATAAAATAAATAAATAATAAAAAATATAAATATAAATATAACAAAAATAAATGTATTTTTTACAATAAATTTTTTTTATATATAACATACACCTCTTTCATGAATCTTATTCTTCAATCTATATACATTACGGCTCCAAAAAATATTATGAATATAAAATCTCTACATAAGTACAAAAAATTATAAAATAAATAAATAATAAAAAATATAAATATAAATATAACAAAAATAAATGTATTTACATACCTTTTAATCAACTAACATCATTTATATGCTAATACATTGTTTAGTCTTATAATTATAAACATCCCACAATTGACAAATACAAAAATTTGTTAATCTAATAATCTCTTTCAAAAATCAATTTAGCAATCATGAAATAATGTAATTGGCTAAAAGGTAAATTTGAAAATAAAAAAAAAATTATGATCATGACAAAAAAAAAAGTGAATACTAAAAAAAATCAATCGGTTAAAATAATTGATATATTAAATAAAATTATAGATCATGATTAAAAAATAAAAAATTATAAAATGCAAACACAAGAAAAAAACCTCACGATAGGGAAAATAAAATATAATACATATATAAAATATACTTATATAACTCTTTCGTACCTAACGAAAGATATGAAAAAGCAAAAATTATAAGAAAATTAAAAGTAAAATACATAAACGTTAGAAAATCAAAGATGTAATGAATTTTAACAAATAATGATTTTAAAAGCGTAAGTAGAAGAAAATCAAAAGTCAAAATCTATATAAATGATAGGTAACTAAAAATTTATTGTATTTATGTAATAAAATTAGGAGATATAAATTTAAAATTTATGTGTAAAAGACTTGACATTTATTACAAAATAGTTAAATTTTATATATTTATATGATTACTGTGAAAAATAAAACCGCTCTTCAAGCATTTTAACCAATTTGACGTAGCGGAAAAAAAATTAGAAAGAACATGATACTTTTATTTATTATATTATTAAAAGATTTTTAGGTTAAATTGAAAAATTAAATTTATATATTTATATTATCTCATCAATTTGATAAAAAACTACACTGAAATATTATTTCATAGATATGATACAACCATTTTTTATTGGTGCTAATTGAGATTGTTTGATTATATTTTGTTTTTTTTTTAAATAAGTATTTATTTTGATACAATAATAAATAATATTTTTTGATAAATAAAACTTAATTTTTAATAATGAAAAATATTAATTGAAAAAATTATATAAATACATATATATATTTATATGTGTATATATCTGAAAATGATATAAACATTTATAATTGCATGATTGTCACATTTACCTTTAAATCAAATATGCTTATAATTAAGTATTGTCATCTTCGTATTAATGTAAATAGAAAATTTTTTTAAATTTTTATTTCTTACTTATTATCAGTATAAAATAAAATAATAATTTTATCGTTCGATCTCTTCTCTCTAGAATTTTAGGTGTTAATTTAATAAAATTACAAAAAAAAAATTACTATTTTTATGTAGAAACACAATATTCTAGAGTTGAGTGGGGTCATGCTTTTTATAATCATATAATCATGTTTTTTAAATAATCATGCATGGAATCAAGACCGAAAAGTCTTTCACCTACTTGATTTTTTTATAACCTTTTTTTTTTTTTTTTTTGCGTGTGATCAACTCCCAAAGGAATAAATAATTCCGGAAAGTGTGATTAGTTATTAAATGAAATTCACATGAAACCAGTAAACCAAAACCTGATTTATAATTATGGCTGGAGCACACAATAATCTATAGGAAAAAAAAACAACTCCTACATTATAAAAGGGATAGATATAATCCATGCCTTACTGATTGACATAACCTGCAACAAGGCATACATCATGAAAGGCATAGATATAACCTGCAACAAGTTTAAAAGGTATAGAAAAAAATAATGGAGGCTGGACATTGTATTTTAAAAGCAAATTGCATGGAAAACCTTTTATTTTAAAAGCGATTGAGCAACAAGTCTGTCACAGTTCTTTGAACCTCTGTTCCTTCGCTTTTCACTATTGTCCATTGTGCTATTTTAACATAAAGTTGAATATTTGTGAAGAAAATTGAATCTTTTTCTTTTTCTTTTATCATCTCTTTCAGTCTAGAATAAACATTTTTTGTACTCAGAGTCGGGTTGTAATAATTCAATAATTTCTGCTCCTTCAATTATGTAAATATAGATAACATGTAAAAGTCTTGGAGAAAGAACTAAGCTCTTCATAAATTTTTATATATAACACATGCTCCATACCTATATTCTATATATATTTAATATATTTAATAAATTAATTTTTATTTAATAATATAAATTTTATTTTAAATTAATTAGAATTAACATATTTATATTTAAAATATTTATTTATAAAAAATTATATAAAAGTTATAACTATGAAATTACACATATCTATTAAATACTTACAAGGATGAAGATGTGAATGAATTTAAAATATTCATTACGTATGAATGTAAAAAGAAATATAATATAAAAAACACGAAATGAAAATAAAAAATATTCCATCTATTCCATGCCTTACTAATTGATATGCTTATTTTTTCCTATAAATGGATGACTGATTGGGGTTGGAAATTTTGAAGAATTTATTTACTAAGTTTGGTTAGTGTATCTTATAATTATTCCCTTAATAGTTCTCTTACCTTTTTTCATAAAAGTTCCTCTCGAGGAAATTAATGCATCAGCCTATCATTCTCTTTATTCCAAATTTAACCGTCCATCTCCCTCTGGGGTTAATTAGTTAGGGAATCTATCTTTGCATATGCAACAAGGAAGAACAACAAACAAACACATCAAGTTAGGGAGTTTGCAATACACACTTGGCCTACTTCAGTTATGTTAGTACATCAAAGTCTATTGTATTAACACTTTAACAGCAATGCCAAAACATTATCTGTTCTTGAGGCAGCAACCAATTCAATGGCCATTGTCCTTGAGAAGGGACCATTTCAAAAAATAAGCGCAAGTTGACAGATTTAATGAGCGTGATGGGTGCCCATTAGTCCCCAAGTCAAGGACGTTGGGCTGTCAAGCAAGCCCTGCTCCTATCCTGACATTTCTGTCTTGACCCATGGACTTCAGTCATTATTGTGAAAAATCATAAAGCATGACATCTGATATATGATAGGATTTGAAAATGGGTTCCAAATTATGAGGCCCAATGCCAATGAAAGTTTCAGTCATAAAAAAAATGGCTGCAAGAAACTGATCTAGCACAAGCAATGCTCTCATTTCAGATGCAAGAGATTGCCCTCACTGTCGATAGCCTGCAAGATCGCAATTTTAGGCTGGCTAGAGTGATATCACAGAAGGTTATCTGGTTATGGATGGATACAAGGAGGAAGTTCTGCAAATAATAAAAGCAATTAATTTTAAATTGATATAAGAGTCCTACATATATTAAATATGGAGGCCCTTCAATTTTTTTACAGTGTTAGCACTAAATCTTTCCTAATTCCATAATTGTAGCATTTCTAGTGCAAAAAATCTACCATCAACATTGGAACAGACTAGAAACAAACATAAATCATATAATTTTTTAAAATGTTTTCACTGAATACAAGATTAGAATTAACCTTCCAATGCCTTGAGACTATTGCATTAACATTGAACAAACTTCTCAAAATGGGACAAAATGAATTTTCAAAATTATATTCTGTATAGATTGACAGCTTAATTCTTTATGCCAAAGCTCTTGGTTGCTGAGGGTGTAAAAGAAAGTAAGAAGCTGAACCCAGTTTCAACAACAGCAAAATGCATTTAGCATTGCTTGGGACTAGCCGAAGTAAGTTGATGAAGTAATGGTTGTGATTGCAAGGTCCATAAGAGCAGAGAATGGCATCCCATGTCTTCACAGGGTTACAATGGAAGGCATATGCTTTGTACATAGTCTAATATATGTGCATTAAACCAAAATTGGCAGTGTTGAATCAATGACGGATATAAGATTTTTTTTATTAAAGTGTTCACTTATAACAGATAAAAAAAAATTGATAAATTTACTAATGTTATTGACAAAAAGAGTGTTTTAAAGAATTTTGAGAATCTATGAACATTATCTATATATGTAGATCTGTTTTAAGTTGAATCATAATCATCACCTAGCACACAGACACAATCTCATGAAAAGTTAAAAAATAATCTCATAAAATATCAAGTCGAAGCAAATAAAAATATTTTCCAAGCAGATGAAACAGTAAAAAGTAAATTGAAAATTCAATATGACAGTGCCACTGATATTAGTATCATTGTTATCTCTCATCATTTATCAGTTCAGTTCTGATCAAGGCAAAGAAGTTGATATTAGCCGATCAAGCTGCACAAGGCTATGGTGAATGGTAGTGGCAGCAGAGGAATCAGAGTAGCATTGTCCTTCTACCTACCTAGATTTGGTGATTGTTGCAAATTGTTTCTATTTGCATTTCTAAACTTCATTTGCTTTTGTAGAACAACAGCTTCTGTAATTTGAACTGCAACGAACATCAATAATCAAATTAAACCTCCACGTATTTAAAAGATAACATGTATTTAAGTCAATCAAAGCTTAGTACAGTCCATTTCTCTTTCATTTATGTAAATATAGATAACATGTAAAAGTCTCGTAGAATTTACTAACCTCTTCGTAAACCCTTTTAGTCCTTTTATAGGCCAGAAAGCCAAATCCACATGGAGATCCAAGAGTTCTTGTATTTCAAGAAGCAGGATTAATGGTTTGGAACTTTGATTTACTCATTCAAATCAGATGGAACAAAATATTGTTTAGATTTGAAATATACCTGATCTCCGACTTGCGTTAGCCTGCTACAGTAATCACAATGTACACAGATTGTAATTTGTAAACCTTGCACACTGCCCACAAAATCAATTTCAAAACATCAAGATTACTTCAGATACTTTCTTCAAGATTTGAATTTCAGAAGCAAATCATAATTATCAGCACCTCCATGCTACCAAAAATCATAAAGCAAGAAATCAGTATTTCGTTACTAGCTACCTTTTAAGTGGTTTAACATGCTTGTAACCAGGATACATCATGTCTCCAAACAAAATAGTACCCACTTTTACCGACGGCTTAAAACAATGGCATGGATTGACTACAAAGAAAAACTCAACCAGTTAAGATGGTTTAGTGGAAAAGAAGAGAACAAGCTTAGGTGTTTCTTTTAGTCATTGCATCAATGGTGTCACATACTGATGCCTAGGTTCAACGTCACTGCTGGTACAGTATCTACATTTCTCAGACATTGAGGCACAGGCAGGGAAGCTTCTCCATAAAGCATAAGCTCAATGCATCTGTACAGTTGGTCTGGTAAGAAACAACATATGTCCTGCATTGCCTGTTCTGGTAAGAAACAGTATCTGTGCCGCACTGCCACTTACCATTTTTTATCTTCTTTAAGTTCCCTGGTTCAAGTTTTATTACAATCTTATAAAAAAAATAGAAAAAAAATTAAAGGTTTCACATCAATTTCTTAGAAATTGTAATCTATAGGTTAAACAACATGCAATAAGAACAAATACTCTTTCTTTGAGAAATAATCAAATGATATGAAAACATAAAACAGTTTTTAAAATATCTATCAATTAAAGCAATTAATAATAAAGTTTTGTAATTTAACATGCAAATAAGAAGTAATTTAGGAATAAAAGACTTTATCAAAGGTTTCAGAATTAGCAAAATTTTTAATTTTATATCAGAAAAAGTATTATTTCTGTTGGTAATTAATATCTCTTCCTCCCATTATCCATTTTCACACCATGTTTCAGTATGGAACTAGCTTGTAGACCTTCATTGAGCTCCAATTGGTTTGAAATTACTGAAATTGAAGTACAAAAAGAAGCTATAAACATGTAAACAGCTGAACATTAAATAAAACTAGCTTCTTACCATCTACACTGTCTCGCACATTCTGCAACTTCAATGAATGCCTGTAAACAGATAATTATCAGTTCCCTTTTTCCTAACTCAAAGTTGGGATGCAGGTTCTAATTAATGTCATTTCATACTACAAAAAGGATGAAAATCAAATTGACAGGAAAGACAGACACCAGATAAAGATCCATGTGACTGGTGGTACAGACTCCCCGCATACCCTGAAAAATGAACAATGATAATATCGTATAAGTTTCAAAATGGAAGTAGGATGAACAGCATTGTTTTTTGGAATTGGAAATCCATTAGGAAGAAAGTGGAAAAGCTTTTCCAAATTGAAATACCTAACCTTGAGTATAAGCAAAGGATAATGTAAATTTGTAGTCATTCATTCTTCCCTTTACTTTTCAGAGATTAAACAGCTTTCCATTTGTCGTCTCTGGATCATAGATGAATATACAATCAATTTCATCTTTGAAATATAATCAACTAAACTAAACCTTTCTATGCCACATGTAACATATGCAAGAATTGGTCACTGGCAATGCAAATTTCTCAAAATTGTTTTTTATATGCAATATCATATATAATTGTGGACCAAAATCCTCCTAAAGTTCTAAGTGTTACAACTATTCCAATGCATTTCCAAATTGTCATACATGGGTCTAATTGGTTTCAGTCAAGTTCCTCTTGATAACAGATGAAACTATCATCAATTTGGAAAAGAGCAAGTGGACAGTGTTGAGCCACTGTTGTTCTTTATCACCTTGCTTTGCACCATTCTATTAGCAATGTACAATTATAAATATATAAATAATGAAGGTTATTAAAAGTAGTGTAAAAGAGAAGAATAAAAAGGAACTTTTAACTTCCATACTTAGGTTTCATTACAAATATGGAAGAAGGTATACTCTTTACTTGTGCCATTTTCTTCTCGGCGAGATGAAATGGTTGTTTTTTTTCCACCTTCAAGTAATAGATGAATCCTTTATCCATGTATTCATAGATGATAGGCCGTTATTTCACAGTTGAGCTCAGGAACTCTGCAAGAACAAACAATAAGGGCGTCTTAAAATGTTGCAGTGATGGATCATAACTCCCAATAATTACATGTCCAATAACTATAGAAGAAATTAAAACATGTAAAATTATCCCAAAAATATTGTTAACGTGAAAAAATTATTGTTTTCAAAAAGACATACCTGGATTTTCTGATTCTTTTCAATAAAATGAAAGAACCTTTAGTTATACTAGTTCGGAACTATTGATTAAAGAAGATGAGTTTCCAGATGCAACCAATGTTATTTTCACAACTGCAGCTATGGTCTCACGGATCATTCAACCTTCCAGACATCCATAGTTGGTAGGTCCTACAAAAACCAAATAGACTAAATCATAGTTTAAAAGAAGGATAAAAATGTCATGGTCAACTTGACCAGCCTCTACTTTAGTATTTCAATTCAACCATTAATATGATAAAAACAAATTTGCTAATGCTCCAAAATAGTAAATATTTGGATTGAAAATAGAAAGAGCTATACGTGTGTTATCAAAATTGGTAGGTTTTTGCGTAAAAGGTGTCAATTTAATGCCAAAGCATGGATGGTTTGCTATGAAATTACTTTATTTATAGAAAAAAGAAAAAATCACTTTACTTACCCAAAAAACCAAAGAAAATCCTTTTCTGAAAGTTCAATCTTTACCCTCAGCAGATAACAAGCATTTTGTAGATAAGGTCGTAGTTAATATCATATCCTGCAAAAATAACCATAAATCTCAATTTTTTTTGAATTAATGCAAAAAAATCGAAGGACTATGAACGTAAAAATAATTAAATGTCTGAAGATTAATAAAATAAATTCCAAGTGTTTTCCTTTCTCTTTAGTGTATAAATTTGAATTTGTAAGGAATATAATAAAAAAAAATTTTGTAAGGGTTATAATAAATTTGAAATTGACATACTTACGACTTTGAGTCGTTAACTTTCTTGTCAACTTTGCTGCCCTGAAGAATTATTGTCTGAACCATTATCCTCTGAAACAGAATTAGCTGGAATCATAGATGTATCTGTTATCAATTTCCACATAAGGTATATGGTCTATCTTGGACCACTCTGGTCCTTTATCCTTTCCACACCGTTCTTTTAGCACTGGACATCTCCGAATAAGTAGCAGCAAAAGCGAAGAAAGCATCTTCTTTTCCGGAAGAGACTTGAGGTTTGGGCAAGAATCGATAGACAAGAACTCCAGAGAGGTGAGGTCCTGAAAGCCCTTGGAGGATAGGGTTTCTAGTTTTGGGAAATTGATGATGTCGAGAGAGGTGAGAGAGCAGGGTAGCGTCATTCCTATCTCTTCTTGTGGAAACAACACTGCATCGGGGCACCCATTTTCTATCCAGAGAAATTTAAGAGAAGTAAGTCTATGCAATCCCCAATCAATTAGTGGCTTACAGATGTTGGGTCCTTTGATGGTAAGACTTTTGAGATTAGTAGGAATGCCCTCTTCTGGGAAGGATGTCAGAATTGAACAATTTTTTATTTCTAATTCTTCTAGACAGCTGAGGTTGTGAATACCGTCGGGCAGAGTTTGGAGTTTTTCACATGAACGGAGGCGGAGGACTTTGAGGTTTGAGGTGGGCAAACCACTTTCTGGAAAGGAAACCAAATTTGAACAAATACATACGTCTATGCACTGGAGATGGCTGAGCCTGTTCAGGCCTTGAGGTAAATACTTAATATTACTACACCCAAGGATAATAATACTTTCAAGAGAAGAGTTATCTTGAATTTCTTGAGCTATGAACTCTAGCTTTTCACAATCGTGTATTTCAAGTCGTTTAAGCCTCGTGGGTAACTCCCCTCTTGATGATAAAGATACCAGAGATGGACAATTGTCAACATACAACCGTTCAAGAAGACATGCACTGCTGAGGTTAATATTCTCTCCCTCTTCCAACAAACACCGTAAATTTTTACAATCAATAATCGCTAGGCTTTTGAGATTTGAAGGCAAATTGTTGTTTGAAAGAGAAATCAGAGATGGACAACTGCTAATATTCAAATGCTCAAGAAGACATACACTGCCGATGTTAACGTTCTCTCCCTCTTCGAACAAACACCGAATATTTGTACAACCAATAATCACTAGGCTTTTTAGATTCTTAGGCAAATTGTTGTTTGAAAGAGAAATCAGATTTGGGCAAGACCAAAACTCTAGCACCCTAAGTGATGATACGTAGTGCAAAGTTTTTGATAGCTTTTCTAACCTTTCACAATCCCTTATTGTCAGTTTTTGAATGGTACAAGGGATCTTTAACTGCATCAATTCTTCTCTTTCCTCCTCTGCCCCTATGGAGACAAGTTGTGACCACTTTCCAATACTCAATTCACCAAGTGAAATCGACTGAGTTAGCAATCCCCAATTGTTCTCTTGCAAAGAGTACAACTCCTCACAATCGTCGACCTTAAGGGATTCCACTTTTATTGATCCTAACGTCAACCATTCTGCTGCACAAGTAAACTTGGGAATTCTTGAAAAACAGACTCTTTTTAATGAGCTGTCATCTACAAAACCTTTATACACTATCCCGTGGCACCCTTCAATATCCAATTCTGAAAGCATTGGAAGGCTTTGAATTGAAATCACCAATTTCTCACAATAAGAAATCACAAGTTTCTCCAAAGAAGGAAGATTTTCCGGTATACTCCCCAACAGTTCTGGGCAATTCACAATACGAAGCTCACGAAGTTTAGGGAATTTCCTAGCTTCCTCGTTAACTTCACAAAAGTTCCAATTCTCCCATTTAAGCATGTTTTCAAATTCTAAAGTCTCCAATGAAGGAAATGCATTTGGTGCATTCTTTCCAAAGAACTCAACTCCCACACTAGTTACATTATCCAATGCCTTGATTATTAAGTTTTCCAACAATGGCAACTGCCCAAATGATGGCAATGATATGCAATTTGGACAAAATTCAAGGCACAAAGATAGTAACTTATTGAATGAAGAATCCCCTATCCATTTCACCAACCTCATACCATAATAGCACCTGAGGCCAAGCTCCTTAAGCTTTGTTGAAGGATGAAGCAAATCCAACACTTCTGTCTCGATTTCTCCATTTCTATTGTTAAAGTCTTCACTCCACATCAATTCTAACTTATCCAGTCCTGATTTCTCATGTAACTTAGCCTTCCGTGCATCTTGAGCTTCAACCACATTCTCTAACCCTGAAATACAAAGTTGACCCTTGAGATTTGATAAACCCCCTAGCTCCCTTATTTGACATCCTTTGCCCTTTTGCAAAATAAATTTGGATAGTGTTTGAAGATCACTTAGTCTGCAAAAATTACTTGGCATGCCTTCTAATCTATTTATACCTGTGATATCAAGATAACATAGGTTGACTAGGTTTTCCATCTCTGAAGGTAGCTTCTCAAGCTCTACACACCAACTTAATAAAAGGGTTTCTAAATTATAGAGGGTACTTATGGACTCTGGCAAGCATTTAATAAAAGTGCGAGAAAGATTTAGGTACCGTAAGTGTTTTAAATCTCCGATAAAATCTGGCAGCTTATAGATTAGATACCCTTCCAAAGAAAGCACCCTTAGGCATTTCAAATTTGGCAACAAATGTGTTAGAACGTCATTAGTAACCCAGCAAGGCATATAATTGGAAAGCCTAAATGGCAAAAAAGTACGTAAACGTTGCGCTTCACTAATGCCGATAAATTTTTTGATGCCATCATACATGCCACCAATGTAAGATAAGTGACGAGTGTGCTTTAAAGTTTTCTGACCACCTTCAATTTTAAAGCATATGTCTCCGGCAATTGATTGAGCCAAATCATTGATGAGGTCATGCATAACAAATCGAGATCTATCTTGGTTTGATATTTGCAAAAGTGACCTCGATACTAGATCTCTAAAATACTTGTGGCCTAGATCTTCAATGCTACGTTTATCTCTTGCTTCCCGTAAAAAGCCTTCTGCCCTCCATAACAAGATTATTTCTTTCTCTTGAAATTCATAGTCCTTAGGAAGAATGGAGCAATATGCAAAGCACCGCTTCAAATGTGGAGGAAGATGATGGTAACTCAATTGGAGAGCTGGAATTATGTCAAACCGATGGTCTGATAGCTTCCATATCTCACTCTCCAATATTTTTTCCCAAGCATCAAGGTCAACATCAGTACGAGCCAAGCCTCCAAGGGTTTTAGCAGCCAAAGGCAAGCCATTACACTTTCTCACTATTTTCTCAGCAACTTCTTTTAGATTTGGATGTCCTTCAAAATCTTTTGCTCCCAATGCATGTTGAGCAAATACAGACAAACAACCATCTTCTGACAAAACTTCCAAAGAATGAGCAAAAGAAGCACCCATTGCAGATGAAACAGCAAAACTTCTTGTTGTCACGATAATTTTGCTCGCTGGAGTCCTTGTTAGAAAAGGAGATTGTAAAATGGTCCAGTCATGATAATTCTCATTCCAGACGTCATCCAAAACAATCAAAAAATTTTTCCCTGACAACGTCTCCTTTAATTTTCTTTGAAGCGAATTCAAATCATTGTCATTACATGGCTCTGAAGTGACTGCTTGGAAAATTGCTTTTGTTATTCTTGTGACATCAAAATCATCAGAAACACAAACCCATGCTTTGAGATCAAAATGATCGTGAACAGTAGCATCATTGTAAACAAGTTGGGCCAAGGTTGTCTTACCGATCCCTCCCATTCCAACGATGGGAATCACAAAATTTCCGTTATCATCACCGTTGAAGACCAATTCAAGTATTGTCCCCTTGTCTTTGTCTCTGCCATACACCTGAGTTTCGATCTCCAGAGAAGTAGGCTGCTGCAATTCTTTTATTCTGTTGGATTTCGAGCAGTCAATCATTCTCAGTTGCAACTGATTTTTTCGAGGCTCTAAATCTTTCAATCTGGAAGTGATATCTTTTATCTTTGACATCATGTCACTGTTACAGAAAACATCATTGAATGTATCAAGTCTGGATTTCTTACTTGAGCTACCATGACGTTCCAACTTCAAATTGCGCCTGGCAATTTCGGTTTCGACCTCGTCCACAACGTCATCCACATCGTATGCCATGTTTTGGAGATCTGACAACCAAATTTTCACAGATTGTTCTTTGATCTGCCTCTCCTCAGCATCATCAAGCAACGCACGAATCTCCAGCAATTCCTTCTTCAATTTCTCAAGCTCTTCTTGAATCTGCTTTTCACCGGGAAATTGAAAGAATTGAAAAGAACCCAACTTGTCTAGGAGATAGTCAAAGAAATTGGAGACAACAACTTCCCGTATAGCGGACAAGGCTTCGCTAAGCAAAGACATGGTTGGATTGCGTAGTTGGAAGAAATTAGGGGAAGAAACAAGATTAGAGAAAGCTGAGAAAAGAGTTTGAGCTAGCAGCAAGTAATGAAGTTTGGTAAAGATGAGTTGTTTGTATTAGATTGATTTCGGGAATCTTTTACAAGTCAATATTGGACTCACATTGATATTTAAATATTATTTTTATTAATTTTAATATTTAAAAAAATAAAAAATTACTATCAAATAATCAAATTTCACTTTCTTTAAACATTGTTTTCCCTTCCTAAACGTGCATTTAAATTCATCTAAAGCTTTCATTAGGCTACGATTATAATGAAAAAATGTGTAAAAAATCACAAAAAGACACCAAATATCCATTTGGCTGGCACAATAGTTTACTCTGGTGGGAAAACGACCTCGACTTTTTTTTTTTTTTTCAAGACAATTATTTGCATCCTAACTTCTTTTTAATACATCTCAAAAATTTTACTATAAATTAATAATATTTGACAATTTTTTAAAAAAGTTTATATTTTTAAATTTTCCTTTTTACTTTAATACTACATTTGAATGCTTTAAATGAAATAATAATTGTCAAATATTGTTACAGAAGATTTTATAACACAATAAATATGATTATTTACTGAATTTTTTTTTTAAAAAATACAGTAATTGTTTACTGCATCCACGAATGGATATAAAGCGTCCACGTCTCCCTATGTGCAAAAACTCTGCACAACTTACTGACAAGATGCCCGTAAAAAAAAGGAAAACCCTCTCATTGTTTTTTTTTTTTTTTTGAACGTTTGTTTCATGAAATTGTAAATTTTAAAAAAAATTGATTTTCAAAATTTTTTTTCATTTATATAAATTATTAGTTATTTATTGTATTTTTTTTATATATCATATTCACCTATCATAATTCATAGTAATAAAATTGTGGGGGCCATGTTAGACTTTTGTTGTGATTTAATCTTTGGGAATTAACCGTCGCCCAATTTGATCGCATGGTTGATCAAAAAATTTCATGTGATGAGCTCATCGGAACAAAAATCCCATGTAAAATAAAAGAGTAAAAATTCATTTTTCATACGAATACAAACAGTAAAATTGGGATTTATTTATCCTTTAAACATTTTTAAAAAATAATATATATGTATATATATTCTATTATTGTTTGTTATTAATTCTTTTGTTTAAATAATTGTTTTTATTTTAATACATTTATAATTATAAATAAATGAATTTATATAATTTATATTTTTTATAAAAATATCTGTAATTTAATAATATAGATATATAGATTTTATTATTACTGTTAGATTTAATAATTTGTATATTTTTAAAATATAAAATATTAAAATTTATGTATTAATATCATATTTTATATAAAATTATATGTTATAATTTATATCGATAAAAAATTATAAAATACATATTTTTAATTTTATTAAACTTAAATATAATAATTATTAAAATTTTAAATTATATTATTTTAATATTTTATATTCATATCATATTATTATGTTATATTTTAGATTATCAAATTTAATTATTACATAAAAATTTAAACTTTTGTTGAATAAATAAAAATTAAATAGGAAAGAAAATAATAAAGTACAAGAAGTTAAAATTTGAGCTCTGGTATCTTTAAACATTATTTCCCCTTTATGAGAGAGTTAGTAGTAAATTTTTTATGCAATAATATTGGTGTATAGATTGACTGTTCGTGGTTATCTTCTAAAAAATTATGTCCGTTGTGAATCAGTATTTTCTGGTTAGCTTTTGAAGCAAGACTTATGCTATCCTCCCCACTATTGGTCCGACATAGGTAATAATTGGAACATTTAATACAACTACAAAAAAAAAAAAAAAGTATTTTTTTATACACAAAAATGATATTCTAGAATTGAGTAGGTCATACTTGTTATAACCATATAATCATGTTTATTAAATAATCATGCATGGAATCAATACCAAAAGTCTTTCACTTACATGATTCTTCTATAAATTTTTTTTGTTTGGCATATGATCAACTCCTAAAGGAATAAATAAATCTGGAAAGTGTGATTAGTTATTTAATGAAATTCACATTTAACCAATAAACCAAAACCTGATTTTTAATTATGGCTGCACACACAATAATCTATAGGAAAAAAACAACTCATGCATTATAAAAGGCATAGATATAATCCAAAAAGCTGCAAAAATTTTAAAGGGTAGAAAACAAAAATAATGGAGGCTGGACATTGTATTTTAAAAGCAAATTGCATGGAAAACCTTTTATTTTAAAAGCGATTGAGCAACAACTCTGTCACGGCTCTTTGAACCTCTGCTTCTTCACTTTTCCCTATTGTCCATTGTGCTATTTTAACGTAACGTTGAATATTTTGTGAAGAAAATTGAATCTTTTTTTTTCTTTTATCATTCTTTCAGTCTAGAACAAACATTTTTTGTACTCAGCCTTGGTTTGTAATAATTCAATAATTTCTGCTTTATGTAAATATAGATAACATGTAAAAGTCTTGGAGAAAAAATAATTTTTTTCATTTTGAGTGTAAAAGTCTTCGAACTTCCAAGATCACTTCGAAGTTCAAACTAATTACACACCAAGAAAGAAAGTTTTGGATGATTTGAGTTAATCTTCCATGTAGTAATAGTAAAATACATCACCATTTTTGGAGGGATTTTTGTTTTCCTGGTTTGGATGATTGTGCCATTGATGTTAGTATCACCATTAACAAATCTTAGAGGAAGAGAAGTTGATAGTATAGCCCATCAAGCTGCACATGGCTATGGTGAATGGTAGTGTCAGCAGATAAATCAGTGTAGCATTGTCCGTATAGCTACCAATATTTGCTGATTGTTGCAATTCATTCCATCTGCATCTCTAAACTTCCTTTATTTGCTTTTGTAGAACAAAAGCTTCTGCAACTTGAACTGCAACCAACATCAATAATCAAATTAAACCTCCATGTATTTAAAAGATAACATATATTTAAGTCAATCAAAGATTAGTATGGGCCATTTCTCTTTCAATTATGAAAATATAGATAACATGTAAAAGTCTTGGAGAAAGAACTAACCTCTTCATAAACCTTTTCAGTCCTTTTATAGGCCGGAAAGCTAAATCCAGAGAGATCCAAGAGAGAATTTAACTCATCCGAAAAAAGCATTCAACATTCCTGTATTTCCAGAAGCAGAATTAATGGTTTCATACTTTGATTTACTCATGTTCAAATCAAATGGAACAAAATATTGTTTAGATTTGATCTAAACCTGCTCTCTAACTTGATTTAGCTTGCCACTATAATCCACCGTCTTTTCTTTTTGTCAAATCAGGCAGAGAAACAGATCAAGATGTACAGGAGACAAGGGTTTTCTGATCTACCAATCTGCATGGCAAAAACATAGCACTCATTTTCACACAATGCCTCGGAGAAGGGGGCGCCAAGTTTATTTAACTTTACCAAAAAGGGATGTGAGAGCCAGCATAGCAGCTGAGTTTATTTATCCTTTAGTTGGTACAATGAGCACAATGCCCAGGGCTACCAACGAGGCCTTGCTTCTATGAAATTGATATTGACACTGCCATTGCAAAGGTTATTGGTCTTCATGAAGCTTTAATTGAAACCTCTCAAGCAGGTGTGATTCTCTAAGGTGCTTGCTGAGGCCTTCTCAAGTGTGCACATGCAGCAATCGAGCAACAACTCTTATCTGTCACAGTTCTTGGAACCTCTGTTCCTTCACTTTTTCAGTTGTCCTTTGTGCTATTTTAACATAAAGTTGAACACTGCATTTCTAAACTTACTTCATTTGGCTTTGTAGAACGAAAGCTTCTGCAATTTGAACCGCAACCAACATCAATAATCAAATTAAACCTCCATGTATTTAAAAGATAACATGTATTTAAGTCAATCAAAGCTTAGTATGCTCCATTTTTTTTCAATTATATAAATATAGGTAACATGTAAAAGTCTTCGAGAAAGAACTAACCTTTTATAGGCCAGAAAGCCAAATCCACAGAGAGATCCAGGAGAAATTTAGCTCATCCTTTAGGTGAAAGAAGCATTCAATATTCCTGTATTTCAAGAAGCAGGATTAATGGTTTGGAACTTTCATTTACTCATGTTCAAAGCAGATGGAACAAAATATTGTGTAGATTTGAATTATACCTGATCCCTAACTTCAGTTAGCTGGCTACTAGTGTCACGGACGTAAGGGGGAGTCCTGAATCCCACATCGAACATAATAGGAGGGTCACTAGGGTATAAAAGGGTTCACACCATCTCCGCCTTGTGAGGCGCCTTTTGTAGGACAAAACCGTGAGGCCAGGGGGGTCAGAGCGGACAATACCTCACAAGGGTGTGAACCGTGGCGGAAGGCTGATCTGGGACGTCGAAAAGGTGAATGCCCGGGTCCCAGAGCCGCACGGGTTCGAAGCTTTAGTCTCGACCCGTGACAAGTGGTATAAGAGTCAGCCCTAAACCGTTCGATCCACGCCGAGCGCCTCGAGGGAGGTAGGCAGGGTGGCCGGCCTCCGTGACGAGAGCGTCATGAGGTTGAGTGCGGGAGAATGTCTCGAACCTAAGAGGGAGTCCTAAATCCCACATCGAACATAATAGGAGGGTCACTGGGGTATAAAAGGATTCACACCATCTCCGCCTTGTGTGAACCGTGACGGAAGGCTGATCTGGGACGCCGGAAGGGTGAATGCCCGGGCCCCGGAGCCGCGCGTGTTCGAGCTTTAGTCTCGACCCATGACACTAGAATGTTATGTTCACAGATTGTAATTTGTAAACCTTGCACACTGCCCACAAAATTAATTCAAAACATCAAGATTACTTCAGATATTTTCTTCAAGATTTGAATTCAGATGCAAATCATAATTATCGCATCTCCATGCTACCAACAGTCATAAAGGAAGATACCAGTATTTGGTTTACCAGCTACCTTCTAAGTTGTTTAACATGCTTGTAACCTGGATATATCATGTCTCCAAACAAAAGAGTATCCACTTTTATGACAGCTTTAAACAATGGCATGGATTGACTAAAAAGAAAAAACTCATCCAGGTAAGATGGTTTAGTGGAAAAGAAGAGCAAAAGCTTGGGTGTTTCTTTTAATCATTGCATCAATGGCTTCACTTACTGATGCCTAGGTTCAATGTCACTGCTGGCACAGTACCTACATTTCTCAGACATTGAGGCACAGGCAGGGAAGCTTCTCCATAAAGCATAAGCTCAATGAATCTGTACAGTTGTTCTGGAAAGAAACAATATATGTGCTGCACTGCCTATTCTGGTAAGAAACAGTATCTGTGCTGCACTGCCATTTACCATTTTTATCTTCTTTAAGTTCCCTGGTTCAAGTTTTATGACAATCTTATAAGAAAAAATGGAAAAGATTAAAGGTTTCATGTCAATTTCTTAGAAATTACAATCTATAGGTAAAACAACATGCAACAAGAACAAATACCCTTTCCTTGGAGAAATAATCAAATGATACAAAAACATAGAAGAGTTTTTAAAATATCTATCAATTAAAGCAACTAATAATAAAGTTTTGTAATTTAACATACAAAAAAGAAGTATTTAGGAATAAAAGACCTTATCAAAGGTTTTAGAATTAGCAAATTTTTTAATTTTACCATTGTATCAGAAAAAGTATTATTTCTGGTGGTAATTTCTATCTTTTCCTCCCATCATCCATTTTCATTCCATGTTTCAGTATGGAACTAGCTTGTAGACCTTCATTGCACTCCAATTGGACAGAAATTACTAAAATTGAAGTACAAAAAAGAAGCTATAAATAAGTTAATGCATGAACATTAAATAAAAATAGCTTCATACCATCTACATTGTCTCGCACATTCTGCAACTTCCATGAATGCTTGTAAACTGAAAATTATCAGTTCCCTCTTTCCTAACTCAAAGTTGGGATGCCGGTCTTAATCAATGTCATTTCATGCTAAAAATGGATGAAAATCAAATTGACAGGAAAGACAGACACCATACAAAGATCCATGTGACAGGTGGTGTAGACTCCTCGCATACCTGAAAAATGAACAATGATAATATTCGTATAAGTTTCAAAATAGAAGTATGATGAACAAAAATGTTTTTTGAAATCGGAAATCCATTAGGAAGAAAGTGGAAAAGCTGTTCCAAATTGATTTACCTAACCTTGAGTATAAGCAAAGGATAACGTAAATTTGTAACCCCTCATCCTAACCTTTACTTTTCAGAGATTAACAGCTTTCAATTTGACTTCTCTGGATCATAGATGAATATACAATCTATTTCATCTTTGAAATACATATCCAAATAAACTGAACCTTTCTATGCCACATGTAACATATGCAAGAATTGGTCACTAGCAATGCAAATTTCTCAAAATTGATTTTTACATGCAATGTCATATATAATTGTGGACCAAAATCCTCCTAAAGTTCTAAGTGTTACAACAATTCCAATGCATTTCCAAATTGTCATACATGGACATCCTCTAATTGATTTTAGTCAAATTCCTCTTGATAACATATGAAACTATCATCAATTTGGAAAAAAGCACGTGACAGTGTTGAACCACTCTTGTTCTTTATCACCTTCCTTTGCACCATTCTGTTAGCAATGTACAATTATAAATATATAAATAATGAAGGTTACTAAAAGTAGTGTAAAAGAGAAGTATAAAAAGGAATTTTTAACTTCCATACTTAGGTTTCATTACGAATATGGAAGTAGGTATATTCTTTACTCGTGCCATTTTCTTCTCGATGAGATGAAACAGTTGTTTTTTTCCCACCTTCAAGTAATAGATGAATCTTTTATCCTTGTATTCATGGATGATAGGCCGTTATTTCACAAATTGAGCACAGGAACTCTGCAAGAACAAATAATGAGGGAGTCTTAAAATGTTGCAGTGATGGATCATAACTCCCAATAATTACATGTCCAATTAGCTATAGAAGAAACTAAAACATGTAAAATTATCCCAAAAATATTGTTAACGTGAAAAAATTATTGTTTTCAAAAAGACATACCTGGATTTTCTGATTCTTTTCAATAAAATGAAAGAACCTTTAGTTATACTAGTCCGGAACTATTGATAAAGAAGATGAGTTCACGTCTCCAGATGCAACCAATCTGCAGCTATGGTCTTACAGGTCATTCAGCCTTCCGGACATCCATGGTAGGTCCTACAAAAACCAAATAGACTAAATCATACTTTAAAAGAAGGATAACAATGTCATGGTTAACTTGACCAGCCTCTACTTTAGTATTTTCAATTCAACCATTAATATGATAAAAACAAATTTGCTAATGCTCCAAAATAGTAAATATTTAGACTGAAAATAGAAAGAGCTATACTTGTGCTATCAAAATTGGGAGGTTTTTGCGTCAAAGGTGTCAATTTAATGCCAAAGTATGGATGGTTTGCTAGGAAATGATTTTATTTATAGAAAAAAAAATCACTTTACTTACCCAAAAATACCAAAGAAAATTCATAAACCTCTGCTTCATATAACAACCAGCACCAAGGAGACCCATGTGAAATCCCTTTTTGCAACTTAAATCTTTACTCTCAGCAGATAACAAGCATTTTGTAGATAAGGTCGTGGTAGTATCATATCCTGAAAAAATAACCAAAAATCTCAATTTTTTTTGAATTAATGCCAAAAAATTGGAGGACCATGAACCTAAAAATAATTAAATGTCTGAAGATTAATAAAATAAATTCAAAGTGTTTTCCTTTCTCTTTAGTGTATAAATTTGAATTTGTAAGGAACATTATAATAATAATAAAATTTTGTAAGGGTTACAATAAATTTGAAATTGACATACCTGCGACTTTGAGTCATTAACTCTTTTCTCTTCAACTTCGCTGCCCTGAAGAATTATTGTCTGAACCATTATCCTCTGAAACAGAATTAGCTGGAATTATAGATGCAGCTGCCATTAATTAGCACACAAGGTATATGGTCTATCTTCGACCACTCTGGTTCCTTATCCTTTCCAGACCGTTCTTTTAGCACCGGACATCCTACAATATCTAGCTCCAAAGCGAAGAAAGCATCTCCTTTTCCGGAAGAGACTTGAGGTTTGGGCAATGATAGATGGACAAGAACTCCAGAGAGGTGAGGTCCTGAAAGCCCTTGGAGGATAGGTTTCTAGTTTTGGGAAATCGCTGATGAGAGAGGAGGTGAGAGAGCAGGGCAGCGTCATTCGTATCTCTTCTTGTGGAAACAACACTGCATCGGGACACCCATTTTCTATCGAGAGAGATTTAAGAGAAATGAGTCTATGCAATCCCCAATCAATTAGTGGCTTATAAATGTTGGATCCTTTGATGGCAAGTCTTTTGAGATTAGTCGGAATGCCCTCTTCAGGGAAGGATGTCAGACTTGAGAAATTTTTTATATCTAATTCTTCTAGACAGCTGAGGTTGTGTATACCGTCGGGCAGGGCTTGGAGTTTTTCACAGTAACTGAGGCGGAGGACTTTGAGGTTTGAGGTAGGCAAACCACTTTTTGGAAGGAAACCAAATTGAACAATCACTTAAGCCTATCCACTCGAGATGGCTGAGCTTGTTCAGGCCTTGAGGTAAATACTTAATATTACCACACCAGTTGATAACAATACTTTCAAGAGAAGAGTTATCTTGAATTTCTTGAGCTATGGACTCTAGCTTTCCACAAGCCTCTATTTGTAGTCGTTTAAGCCTCGTGGGTAACTCCCTTCTTGTTGATAAAGATACCAGAGATGGACAATAGCCAATATACAACTCCTCGAGAAGACTTGCATTGCTGATGTCAACATTCTCTCCCTCTTTCAACAAACACCGTAAATTTTTACAATTAGCAATCTCTAGGCTTTTGAGATTCGAAGGCAAATTGTTGTTTGAAAGAGAAATCAGAGATGGACATTTGCGAATTTTCAAATGCTCAAGAAGACATGCACTGCTGAGGTTAACATTCTCTCCCTCTTCCAACAAACACCGTAAATTTTCACAATCAAAAATCTCTAGGCTTTTGAGATTCGAAGGCAAATTGTACTTTGAAAGAGAAATCAGAGATGGACATTTGCTAATATTCAACTGCTCAAGAAGACATATACTGCCGAGGTTAACATTCTCTCCCTCTTCCAACAAACACCGTAAATTTTCACAATCAAAAATCTCTAGGCTTTTGAGATTCGACGGCAAATTGTACTTTGAAAGAGAAATCAGAGATGCACAGTCGCTAATATTCAACTGCTCAAGAAGACATACACTGCCGATGTTAACATTCTCTCCCTCTTCGAACAAACACTGTATATTTCTACAACAACCAATGTCTAGGATTTTTAGATTCGAAGGCGAATAGTTGTTTGAAAGAGAAATCAGATTTGGACAATACCAAAGCTCTAGCACCCTTAGTGATGAGATGTAGTGCAAGGTTGTTGATAGCTTTTCTAACCTTTCACAATCCCATATTGTCAGTTTTCGAATGGTGCAAGGGATCTTCAATTGCATCAATTCTTCTCTTTCCTCCTCTGCCCCTACGGAGACAAGTTGCGCCCACTTTCGAATGCTCAATTCACCAAGTGACATCGACTGAGTTAGCAATCCCCAACTGTTCTCTTGCAAAGAGCACAATTCCTCACAATCGTCGATCTTAAGGGATTCACTTTTATTGATCCTAACGTCAACCATTCTGCTCTACAAGTAAACTTGGAAAACTCTTGAAAACCAGACATTTTCTAATGAGCTGCCGTCTACAAAACTTTATACACTACCTCCTGGGACCCTCGAACAACCAATTCTGATAGCATCGGAAGGTTTTTGAATTGAAATCACCAATTTCTCACAATCACAAATCACAAGTTTCTCCAAAGAAAGAAGATTTTCCGGTATACTCCCCAACAGTTCCGGACAATTCACAATACAAAGCTCACGAAGATTAGAAAAACTTCTTAGCTTCCTCATTAACTTCACAAAAGTTCCAATTCTCCCATTAGGCATGTTTACAAATCTAAAGTCTCCAATGAAGGATATGCATTTGGCGCATTCTTTCCAAAAACTCAACTCCCACACTAGTTACATTGTCCAATCCCTTGATGCATAATTTTTTCAACAATGGCAATTGCCCAATTGATGGCAATGATGTGCAATTTGGACAACATTCAAGGCATATTGATAGTAACTTATTGAATGAAGAATCCCCTATCCATACCGCCAACCTCACACCATAATAAAACTTGAGGACAAGCTCCTTAAGCATTTTGGAAGGATGAAGTAAATCCAACACTTTTGTCTCGATTTCTCTATTTCTATTCTCCAAATCATCACTCCACATCAATTCTAACTGATCCAGTCCTAACTTATCATGTAACTTAGCCTTCAATGCATCTTGAGGTTCAACCACATTCTCTAACCCTGAAATACAAGTTGACCTTTGAGATTTGATAAACCATCTAGCTCCCTTATTTGACATCCTTTGCCCTTTGCAAAACAAAATTGGATAGTGTTTGAAGATCACTTAGCGTGCAAAAATTACTTGGCATGCCTTCTAATCCAACTGCACCTGTGATATCAGGATAACATAGGTTGGACTAGGTTTTTCCATTCTCTGAAGGTGCTTTTCAAGATTCTGGATTCCCTTAATAGAAGGGTTTCTAATTATAGAGGGTTACTTATGGACTCCGGCAAGCACTGAATAGAAGTGTGAGAAAGACTTAGGTACCGTAAGTGTTTTAAATCTCCAATAAAATCTGGCAACTTATATGATTAAGTACCCGTTCCAAAGAAAGCACCCTTAGGCATTTTACAAATTTGGCAACAAATATGTTAAAACATTCATTACTAACCCAGTAAGGCATACAATTTGAAACCTAAATGGCAAAAAAAGTACGTAAATATTGCGCTTCACTGATGCCCCTTTAATTTTTAATGCCCATCATACACCACCACCAATGTAAGATAAGTGGCGAGCTATGCTTTGAGAATTTGCTGATCACCCTCTATTCTGAAGCCAGATTTCTCCGGCAACTGATCGAGCCAAATCATTGATGAGGTCATGCGATAACAAATCGAGATCTACCCTTTGTTGATATTTGCAAAAGAGACCTCGATACTAGATCTCTAAAATACTTGTGGCCTAGATCTTCAATGCTATGCTTATCTCTTGCTTCTTGTAAAAAGCCCTCTGCCCTCCATAACAAGATTATTTCTCTCTCTTGAAATTCATAGTCCTTAGGAAGAATGGAGCAATATGCAAAGCACCGCTTCAGATGTGGGGGAAGATGATGGTAACTCAATTGGAGAGCTGGAATTATGTCAAACCGATGGTCTGATAGCTTCCATATCTCACTCTCCAATATTTTTTCCCAAGCATCAAGGTCAATATCAGTACGAGCCAAGCCTCCAAGGGTTTTAGCAGCCAAAGGCAATCCATTACACTTTCTCACTATTTTCTCAGCAACTTCTTTTAGATTTGGATGTCCTTCAAAATCTTTTGCTCCCAATGCATGTTGAGCAAATACAGACAAACAATCATCTTCCGACAAAACTTCCAAACAATGAGCAAAAGAAGCACCCATTGTAGAATAAACAGCAGAAATTCTTGTTGTCACGATAATTTTGCTTGCCGGAGTCCTTGTTAGAAAAGGAGATTGCAAAATGGTCCAGTCATGATATTTCACATCCCAGACATCATCCAAAACAATCAAAAAATTTTTCCCTGACAACTCCTTTAATTTTTCTTGGAGCGAATTCAAATCGTTGTCATTGCATGCCTTTGAAGTGACTGCTTGGAAAATTGCTTTTGTTATTCTTGTGACATCAAAATCATCAGAAACACAAACCCATGCTTTGAGATCAAAATGATCGTGAACAGTAGCATCATTGTAAAACAAGTTGGGCCAAGGTTGTCTTACCGATCCCTCCCATTCCAACGATGGGAATCACAAAATTTCCGTCATCATCACCGTTGAAGATCAATTCAAGTATTGTCTCCTTGTCTTTGTCTCTGCCATACACCTGAGTTTCGATCTCCAGAGAAGTAGGCTGCTGCCTTTCTTTTTATTCTGTTGGATTTCGAGCAGTCAATCATTCTCGGTTGCAACTTATATTTTTGAGGCTCTAAATCTTTCAATCTGGAAGTAATATCTTTTATCTTTGACATCATGTCACTGTTACAGAAAACATCGTTGAATGTATCAAGTCTGAGTTTTTTACTTGAGCTACCATGACGTTTCAACTTCAGATTGCGGCCTGGCAATTTCGGTTTCAACGTCGTCCACAATGTCATCCACATCCTATGCCATGTTTTGGAGTTCTGACAACCAAATTTTCACAGATTGATCTTTGATCTGCCTCTCCTCAGCATCATCAAGCAGCGCACGAATCTCCAGCAATTCCTTCTTCAACTTCTCGAGCTCTTCTTGAATCTGTTTTTCGCTAACAAATTGCAGGAATTTAGAAGAACTCAACTTTTCTAGGAGATAGTTCAAAGAACTTGGAGACAACAACTTCTTGTATAGCGCACAGGGCTCCAAGCAAAGACATGGCTGGGTTGCGTTGTTGCAAGAAATTAGAGGAAGAAACGAGAGTAGAGAAAATTGAGAAAAGAGTTTGGGTTAGTCGGAAGAAAGTGAAGTTGGATAAGATGAATTGTAATGTAGGGATGATTTTTTGTTTCTTTTGCTCGTTGATTTTGCGGAAGCTTTTACAAGTCAATATTGGACCCACATTAACGTGGCTTTAACTTTTTGAACGCACTAGCACTACCACTACGGGCTTTTGGTAAAAAAGGGGGTTTCAATTGGGTTCTTTCTGCAATTTCATCGATCCTACACAACAAAACCCCCACCCCCTTAACTCCCTTTTCTTGGTAATTTCCATGTTTGAATGTTGAAATAGGGGAAATATATACGTTCAATTGCTTCCCAAGTTTTATCAACAGATTTTGGTGTATACATATTTGCTAATTTCTATTGTCATCCTATATTTTTTTTATTTGTGATTTTTAAAATAATAGTGTGCTGGATAATTCAGTAAAAAAGGCATAAAAAAACTTAAATGCAAATCTAAAAAAAAATTGATGAGAAAATCATGGATTATATATTAATCCTCGGAAAATTTATTCGCAAATTCGGTTTTTTTATATTTAAATATTTTAATCACTAAAATTAAACATATTAATATAAATTATGTAATAATGTGAAATTAAGTATAAGTACATAGAAGTATTGGAGACTATATTATATCATACTATATTATTGGAAACTCTTTACGTTGCTATCTTCCTAAGGCTAAGGTTGGTCTGATAGCTTCCATATCTCACTCTCCAATATTTTTTCCCAAGCATCAAGGTCAATATCAGTACGAGCCCAGCCTCCAAGGGTTTTAGCAGCCAAAGGCAAGCCATTACACTTTCTCACTATTTTCTCAGCAACTTCTTTTAGATTTGGATGTCCTTCAAAATCTTTTGCTCCCAATGCATGTTGAGCAAATACAGACAAACAATCATCTTCTGACAAAACTTCCAAAGAATGAGCAAGAGAAGCACCCATTGTAGATGAAACAGCAAAACTTCTTGTTGTCACGATAATTTTGCTTCCCGGAGTCCTTGTTAGAAAGGAGATTGTAAAATGGTCCAGTCATGATAGTTCTCGTTCCAGACGTCATCCAAAACAATCAAAAAATTTTTCCCTGACAACTTCTCCTTTAATTTTCTTTGAAGCAAATTCAAATCATTGTCATTACATGGCTCTGAAGTGACTTCTTGGAAAATTGCTTTTGTTATTCTTGTGACATCAAAATCATCGGAAACACAAACCCATGCTTTGAGATCAAAAATGATCGTGAACAGTAGCATCATGTAAACAAGTTGGGCCAAGGTTGTCTTACCGATCCCTCTCATTCCAACGATGGGAATCACAAAATTTCCGTCATCATCACCGTTGAAGACCAATTCAAGTATTGTCTCCTTGTCTTTGTCTCTGCCATACACCTGAGTTTGAATCTCCAGAGAAGTAGGCTGCTGCCTTTCTTTTATTCTGTTGGATTTCGAGCAGTCAATTAATATCAGTTGCAACTGAGTTTTCCGAGGCTCTAAATCCTTCAATCTGGCAGTAACATCTTTTATCTTTGACATCATGCCCCTGTTAATGAAAACAATGTTGAATGTATCAGAAATGAGTCCGGGTTTCTTACTTTGAGCTACCACGACGTTCCAACATCAAATTGCGCCCTGGCAATTTCGGTTTCAAGCTCGTCCACAATGTCATCCACATCGTATGCCACGTTTTGGAGGTCTGACAACCAGATTTTCACAAATTGATCTTTGATCTGCCTCTCCTCAGCATCATCAAGCAGCGCACGAATCTCCAGCAATTCCTTCTTCAACTTTTCGAGCTCTTCTTGAATCTGTTTTTCAGTGGCAAATTGCAGGAATTCAGAAGAACCCAACTTGTCTAGGAGATAGTCAAAGAACTTGGAGACAACAACTTCTCGTACAGCGGACAGGGCTCCAAGCAAAGACATGGCTGGATTGCGTTGTTGCAAGAAATTATATGAAGAAATGAGAGTAGAGAAAATTGAGAAAAGAGTTTGAGTTAACGGAAGAAAGTGAAGTTGGATAAAGATGAATTGTAATGTATGGGTGATTTTTTGTTTCTTTATGTTTCTTTTGCTCGTTGATTTTGCGGAATCTTTTACAAGTCAATATTGGACCCACATTAACGCGGCTTCAACTTTTTGAACGCACTAGCGCTGCCACTGCGGGCTTTTGGTAAAAAAGGGTATTTCAATTGAGTTCTTTCTGCAATTTCATCGATACTACACAACAAAACCCCCACCCCCTTAACTCCCCTTTTCTTGGTTTTTTATAAAGAAAGTTGTAACACGATAAAAGAAGAACAGAGACGTCTGTTTCTGTCGGTGGAGATTAATTTTTGTGGTGTCTTTTTCTTCTGAACAGTTATTTTGGGAATCATTTTACTTTTATAGCAGGGCCACTAGGGTTTTAAATGCAGTATTAATGACAGCTGGTGTATGAATAATTTAATAATAATGTCTGAGTTTGAATAATTGGGATGAACAATTCA